AATTTTCGGGCGGTGCCCTCCTTATATAGCGATAGACCCATGTCTAACTGTATGTGAGCAGAGTTACAGTGCTTTTTATTTTCCTTGCCAGTGTTCCGTATCTTTCAGGCAAACACGTTATATTTGGCGATGTAGTTGGCCCACGCGTCGGGCTATGCGGGATACTCGCGCGAAAACACATGACTTCTAAAACTCATTAAAGTTCCATTTGGGCTTAGCGCGGGGTGACCACTTTACGCTCATCTCGGTGATGGGGGGACTGGAAGTGCTGCTAGGGTGCCACAGAAAGGACCTAGGCAGCCCTGAAGGGATAACTTAGTGGGTGGAGTGGGGTTGACAGGCCCACTGGACAGGGAGAGTGCAGGGATTAATACAGCTCCAACACCTGCCGGGAATTCAAAGAAAATAAAAATGTCAGAGCTGCACAATTCATTCGTTTACTTCCACCTCTATTCTCATCAACCCAGTTGCTATAATTACAAATGATCTCGAGAAGGCTCAATCATTTCGAAAGAGATACTTGACGACTTGACCTTGTCCTCCCATATACCTCGTGGCCCAGAGGAATCGGCTGTCCTGATTGTCCTCGGCTGAAGCGAAGAATAGCTCCGAACGGTTCCAGACTGCCGTCACACACGACGAGTCATAACGATGGAACTAGTTTCAGGGGCACTCCCGGGATGGCATTACGCTAGATGGCGTACCACGGTTTTGCCTATACCGTATCACATTGGAATACATGTGTCCCCGTAAGGTCAAGATGTTCATTCATTGTCGACAGAGGCCGTGACGGATTGCTTTTATTTGCCACATAGCACAGAGCTCAAGTACACCGTGCCGCTTCCAAGGACAATGGCAATTGACCTCATATTCTGACCTGAATACGTATATACACAAGAAGCTATCTAGCTACCTACGCAGCTACGGTACATACATGCATGGCGCAAAATTTCCGAATCTCCCTTTAGCTATGTAGGTACTAACTAAAGAGGTCCATCGAAGCACACAAGCGCATAAGCGTGGGCGGGGCAGAACGGGGCAAATCCAAGTAGCCGGGGCTGCATCCCGTCTCAGCCCATTCAAGGAATGGTTGGGAATGATGAGGGAAGCTTCGCCATGTACCGTTTTCACAACCATCTCAAAGTCAGCTCCGGACATTTTATGGTTCGAACCCTGGCTTGTTCTCCACGCCGCCTCTTATCTTGCAGCTTGGCATTATCATTCCCACGAGTGTTGGGTTGTATTGGGTTACGACTGGACACCTTTAAGAATTCCGCAGAATTGCAAATGAGGGGCTGCCCACGGCTAAGGCATTCTGCCTCGCCTCACTTTTACGTCTTATCATCTTTACATTACTGTTGAAGGTTAGCTCGAGATGTATTATATTTACAATTCTTTCTCTCTTTCTTCTTTGGTTTCGAGCCACCCAACCAAGGCGATAAGGCGTATTCGGCTATCAGATTGGCATCCCAAAAATGCATCATTCATGTTGCGATTCCATTCACCATTCAAAAGAGTCAGTTCTTATCTTCTTCGATATTGAACGGTTGTCCGATTAGCTTCTCTATGAAGACCTATTCAACACGTATTTCGGTTGCTCGGACCAGAGAAGTTTACACCCTTAATCGAACTTTTCTTATTTTCAGTCCTTCTTTTACCCGTCAATTATCAAATAATCGCTTTATCCAAGCTGAGAACTTATACTGAAGCCAAGAAACCCTAAGAGAAGCCAACCCATAACTCCGTATCTATTCTTTAACACAGCTAAGATCCAGCCTAGCTGCTCCGTCCCTCCCAACCAAGCTGCACCTTTCGCCGATCCTCTTGTACGTGCGCAAAGTTTTCAGGCTTCAAGGCTTGGTCAGTGCTACGCCTACTGTTGAACCAGGAAGTACCGACCAAGCTCGTTCTCGCATCGTGTGGTGCTGGTATGACGCTCCCTAGGGCCGCGGTCGCAAGAAGAATGATGCTGGCGAATTGCATTTTGAAGATTTTGATATCTCGGTTTATACTAGTACAGATCTCGTTTATGGAACAGAACGATCTTGCAATGAGTTATGCGTAGTAAACTAACTAGCGATATGCCGTCAAATGAGTGTGATAAAGACCGACGTCGTGATGTTCACGAATGACCTGAGGTGAGTAACTAACTCAAGGAAATGAGACCCAAGGAAATAGATAATTGTAGAAAACCAGCAAAGGTCCCTACCTCGAGGGTGCCAGGAGGACCGACTATTCTCTTATACACCACGTGTGCCATTGTCTCACCAAATGCGCGGTAGTCCTTCGGCTCTGATATCTCTCTTTCATGCTTCTACTTAACGTATTGTAACGATGTCATCGTGGTCCAGAGGTACTTACCGTCTTTGTCTGAGAGAAGTCAGCCATGTGTGCCTTGCCTTTGTGCCTTGAATAGCACAGCTCCTTTCATCACCACAAGGATCTACCAAGTGGAAGTAGTTGACTCTTTGATCTGCGCGTGGGCGGGCTATTATGCCATCTCGATCCCTTCGATAGTGCGAACGTAGCTATCAAGATGGATGTCAATACCACTTACACGACGAACCTACATGGAACGCATATATTAGGTACGCAAGGATCAACAGCGTCTTGCAAGTCGGAAAGATCTGAACTTCCCCAGACCTGCTTGGTCCCACGAAATGCTAGAGGACGTCATCACTATCCAAGACGGAATATTACCTGCGCTTGGTGGTCTTCTTGACTTACAAAATTCTTCAATGAGTAATTCTCCGCCGACTCCCCTAATCTCCAGGACATACCTAGGCGTAGTTCCGGAAGAGACACGCCTACAATTTTGAGAAGACTACCTTGCAAGGCGCGGATAGATGAGTTTCGATTTCCTTAGCAGCTTCCCATGCATCGACTGCTATATATAGGGGGATTGAGTACCTCCTCTTGTAGTATATCATTATCACGGTCTCGACGCAACGCGGGCATCTAGCGTTGCGATGAACTCCGTCAATTTATGCAGTAGGGTCTCTGCTCCATGTATCTCCTGATTATTCAGGATATTGGGAGACGGAGATGGTTTGAGAGTGTCCCAGCACCCGTAGCTCATCTCGGAGTAGCAAATGAGTTGCTCGCCTTAATAATTCTTCTGAGAGATCCCTAGTTAGAGGAGCCAATTCTCACGTTGACTTGCATGATGGCGTCGGTAGCGCTCTCGACTTGCTTCTAAGGATCAATCACTGGCTTCATCAGGTCGATAATGCGTGCTAATATGGTTTTGCGATGCTGCGTCGGAAGCGAGAATGGCCCGGCAATCATCTGGGCTCGCTGATACTTGGGAGGCTGTTAGCTCGGAAGGGCCGGGAACCGAGAGAAACGACTGCACCACATCTTGCCACGTCATTAAGTCTTTCTCAATAGAAGTAGCAGTGGACATCATGATGTGCAAGGAGAGTTTTCAAAGGAAGGATGTAGAAGCCGACAAGTACGCGAGGTAGATAATACCAGTTCGGCCTCGTCTGATCGAATTGAGTCTTAGAACCCATAGATGGGGCACAGGTGTACATGCATTAGGTATGTCTCAGCTCGCCGAATGACCGATCTGGAATGGGATAGTTGCTAATAATACACGGAACTCGGAATGATTTCATTTCGCGTCTTCGCATAGACCGACCTCTCGCTATCAAGGTAACTCGGTGCTAACTTCTCTAGAGTAGGGTTCGGAGTTAAGAGTATACAACTTACCTAACTCCATTAAACGCTTCCTATATTGTCGAGTTGGCCAGAGTCCACTCCACAAGCTTAATCGCCGAATCTTCCCCATCCTCTTCAGAAGAATACTCTGACCGGCGATTGTATTAAGACTTTCTTTCTGACAACAAAATCTTACATCATCGCCATGGCTGTATTTGATGCAACGGCTACCAGCGAGCAAGTGGTTGAGGCCTTCGCCTGGCAGGTCAAGGGGCGTACCTTCGTTATCACCGGAGCTGGCCAACCGAGTATCGGGAGCTCTATTGCTACTACACTAGCTCGGGCCTCGCCAGAGCACATTCTCATCGCATCGCGTACTGCTGCCAAGGTCGATCCCGTGCTCGCCGCCATCAAAGAGATAGACCCCTCAGTCAAGGCAACATTCGTCCAAGTCGACCTATCTGATCATGACTCGGTACGCCGGGCGGCTCCGGAGATCCTGGAAGCGACGGGGTCCAAGATCGACGTTCTCATTAACAGCGCCGGCGTCATGGCCCTCACCGAGTATATGGTCGATAAGCAAGGCATCGAGATGCAACTTTCGGCCAACCATGTTGGCCACTTCCTATTGACGAACCTGCTGGTCCCAGCTCTCCTGGCTGCTGCCGACGCCAACCCAAAGCAGGGTGCGCGAGTCGTCAATCTCACCAGCTTGGGGTATCTCATCAGCCCCTTCCGCTTTGACGACTACAACTTTTCGGGCGGCAAGACATACGACCTCTGGACAGGATACGGCCAGGCCAAAACAGCAAACATCTTATTTTCTTTCGGACTAACTAAAAGGCTCAAGGAGAAGGGCGTTACCTCGCTGGCAGCTCATCCCGGAAACAACCTTGACACCAAGCTCGGTTCGCATCTGACACTGGAAGATTATAACGATATATTCGAAATTACTAGACGTAATACGGGAAAGGATTTCGTATTCGACGAGCCGAGATTCAAGACCTACGCTCAGATCGGCGCCACGCCTCTCACGGCTGCACTTGACCCGGCACTGCCTGCTAAAGCCCCTGCACTCTTGATAAACAGCCAGATTGTAGAGTGCGCTGATCATGCGAGCAACCCTGAGAATGTCGAGAAGTTATGGAAGCTGAGTGAGGAATTGGTTGGGCAGAAGTTTGAGTTTTAACTTGAGACTTGAGACTCAAGGTCAGACTATAATGTAGGTAGTTCTTAGCTTATATCATGTACACCTACATAATCATGACTGCACAGTCGAATTTGAAGGTGGTGAAAATATGAAAATAATATGAAGAAAATGAAAGAAAAAAATGAAGTGGCGGTACTGGGAATCGAACCCAGATCTACACGGAACCGTTGTTTCCACAACGTGTTGTACTGGCCATTATACTATACCACCTCTTGCAGCTGCCCTAAGCGCCCGCTGATTGGTGAATTTGCGAACGAGAATTACACTACATATGTCTAGGTGCGCCATTGGCTTAAACTGGAAAAGAAAAAGCCGGGTTTTGGCCGACCGCGCGGAAAATTTTTCTAGTGACCTGTGCTACCGGAATCGAAAATTTAGAGATACGTGCTTTCCGAGGAGAGGTCTAGTTGCGCGGCTTTGAGACTAAGTGCTTTACCCCCGTTTGACTTTATTGAGTGGGAACCACTTGTGATAGTTCCGTATGTCACGGCTTGGCGTTTCTACCTTCTGTGTAGTGGCAACCGAAGAACGACAGGAGTCTCGCCGATACCTGTCAGGGCCTCTAAGTGTTCTAAATTAACAGTGACAGCTTCATGTTCGAGAGACCATTCGACCCGAGATTTGTGTCTGTATCTGGTACGATGCCGTCTCCCCAAAATCGTTCCAAGATGAAATGATACCAGATCTATATGTTAGATAGAATGACAATTTGAATAAGAAAGTAAAAGGATGTAATGGCAAAGAAACTCTAAAGTCATTTCGTTCTAGTCGAATGAAGGCAAGGAGGGAAGCAAAGTTGAGTAATGTGCACATGGATGAACTCGACGCATTAGACGCTAAGTGTAATTGCTTTGTACTTCAACGCCGGAACTTTGGAAAACGTTCAAATATGAATAGGCCGCAGGCCTGTTCTAGAACTTTATCGGCTAAGTTCGACAGGAAACTAGGTACCTAGTGTACGTCTAGATAAGTTTCATGTCCACAGTCGAACGGCTAGAGAGGTAAGAAACAAGACGAGTGTATGTGGTCTCAAACCCAGCTACCAGTACGGGATGTGGTGGAACGCTAGGAGAATCCTCTATCGCCTGTATTGACATCATACCAATACGCTCGTATTCAGGATCCGAACTGGGACCTGCCTCAGTGTGTATCAAAACCAGTCCGAGAACATTGAAGGTGATGCTAGTCTGGATCGCGATAGGAAGAAAATAGACTTCGCTGTTCGTATCGATTGTTGGGCGTGAATGCGTACTTAAATTATAATCTGCTTGGTGTACTGGTAGAAATCTCAGGTCGCCTAGCCTCAGCTCGTAGTGTCCATCGGATAGTCCACGGAATCCGGTGTGTCCTATCTTGGTTAACGTGGTAGCAATCAGGGGCCCGCGAAGATGAAGTACGGCTTTCTCGTGCCTCCCGAGATACGAAGATCCCGTGTACTGAATGTCAGTGTACCTTAAGTTGGTACAACCAAGTAATTTTAAGTCTTCATTTTTTCCCAGCTGAGGCCATGTGACTCGTGACATTACTGACGCCCAAGTCCACGTCGGAGCGTTTAGGTCGCCGCGTCCTTGTAATTGCTGATGTGGAACAACCTGCCAAAGGAGATCATAGAGCAAAGTGTTCTTCCATAACCCAAGTAAGAATTTGTCGTCCGGATTTCTCGAAGCTGCCTCCCGTTGGGCTATAGCGGCCAGGGCTGCGAACCTGTCCTTCTCGAAGGTAAGAGCTAGATGGGAGTATTCGTAGACCGTATTATACCAACCTAGAAGATCCGAGGCAGCAACATATCGGTCGTTATAAGTTAACGTCGTTGGGGCATCTGAGTTGTTACTTCGACTCTCGCTTCTCCTGCATGTCCGACATTGCCAGAGCGCTTCGTCCGAACCGAAGTGAAGTATTCTAGGCGAAAGCCGCATTTCTTGATAGACCCACGCTCGGGACAAAAGGGGCCAATCCCTCTGCCGGTAAAATTGGTTGAATTCTGGCGGCTTCTTGCGACAGTAGACCACATTTTCTACGACGGGGCGGCAGTAAATTGTGTCGGGATCTGTGGACCCGTAGCAGCCCCCAGTTCCGTCGACAGACTTTGTCGCAGCAATCGTCAAATATGCATTCTCATATATGTCAGCCATTTTCATCGATTCTGTGTCCCAATCCTGGACACTATCCTGAATGATGCAGAGCGAGTCTATCCATATGTAATCAATGAGGAGTCGGCGGCATATATCCACTGCATCTTGGAATGTTTTACTCAATGATGGCCATGGAATGTCCCTCTTGAAATCATCAATGGTGGTGGTCAGTGTTCTGATTGGGCTTTGCGATGGACCCCAGCAGTGGCTCAGACAAGCGTAACGAGTTTCGTCTAGATCTTCCCGTAAGGCAAGCTTATCGTTCCTGACATCTAATACTCGCCTTGGAAAATATGATGACTGGAAGGACACAGAACATTTCTCATGTTCCGAAAGGCATTCTTGAATCCAGGTTTCGATCGACCAGAACGTCTGCTCTGAGCGAGTATTCCCTGGTAACATACTTCCCTCAGATATCATCGAGAACTCCGTGTCTCCTACGCCTGTTGCTTCACATTAGTCTCCCCAACGAACCGCAACGATGATAAAGCAGACTACCTCTAGACTGAATCTAGCATCAAGTCGAGTGGGACCTACCTGGCACTCGGAAGATCTCATAGAAGATGCTATTATCGAAAGTGAAATGCCGCAGCTGCGAGAATTGCACTTGTGTCTCCGGACTCGCGTAAAAAGTTCCAATGGCACAATAACGAAAATAACAAGTTTTGCAGCCGCTTCTCACTGCATTCTCAAGCTCTTCGACGGTGATCACAAGGAGCTCAGGTGGGTTGCAACTTAGGCTGTTCTTTGGCTGATGGCAATAGTCGCAGTAGTCGTTGCCCAGTGGGGCATCTGGGCCATTTTTCAGAGTTACGACCGGCATACTAGCATCGCATCTAATTTCTAAAAAGACTTGTCGGGGTTGGGCGAGTGATCCTGTTGTGTTGACTTGATCTCACAACATGAAGCCCTCATCAAAATTTCCCCTCGTTATAGCTCCGATAATTCCATGTCTAAAACCCGGTATCTCCGCCTCGCGTAATGATCAGAATAGGGGCCCCCTTTATCCATCTTTTATCGCTCGTTGCTGTTAATTAACCTCCGAAGCTGACAAAACCGCCGATGCGACTTTGAGTAAAGTATGTATTTTATGTAGGTCAGCGCTGGTCTAGATTATCAGAGAAGCTCGGTCTCTTACGGACTTCTCATGAGGAGAGTTGCCGTCTTCGCCTACGTGGGGAAATTTTTCAACTCACATAAGGAAGCCTTACGAACTTACCATAAGCCTCTATGGTTGATAGTACTCTTACTCGAGCTATAGTGAACGAAAGGACTTCGCAGTCAAAGACAGCGCTGACACATTAGGTGAAGGTACTCAACCGGTCGTCTGAGAACTTAGCGGCAGCTTAGCAGGCGGAAACGGTCAGCATGGGCTTACCTCACTACCACTGGTCAACTCGAATGAGAAAAACTCATTAGGCATGTGATCCATTGAAAGGGATCAAGATGACATTACTTTCTGGTCTGTCAGAGAGAGGAACAGAAGTGGTTCCAGGTTCCTACAAGCACAATGGCGCCACCTGCCTAGAATTATTAAGCGACGATTCTATTCGTCGACTCGGAAGGTCCTTGCAATTACAGGAGAAGCTTTAGTCGAAACGATTCCTCATTTGAGCAACTAGGAGGGCATTCGAGGCGGGCAATGCTCAATTGCGGATAGTGTATTGGGTTCACAATTTTTTTCGCGTCTATATTAGCGGTCTAGCCCAGCTCATCGTGAGGTAGAACTTGTAGTCCCGGCGGTTCTTTGGAATTTACATGGTTCTAATAAGCTTGTCTCAGATAGATGGCCGTGCTGGGGAACGAGAATGCCCATATGGTGAACTTGAAGGGCTGGGTGAGACACGGATATAGTTGGTCGCACGTGGCAAGGGGGCGGGCTGGTTAGGAATCTTCAGCCATTTTATTTCAACCTACGTTCTTCTATCGTCCCTGATTCTTTAACACTTCGCCTCCCTGTGTAACGGGCGGCTCTAAGCAAGTTATGGGAATTATAAGAGATGCCTTCATGCTGTTGATCGTGACACTTGGAACTACTTTCGCAGATCACGAGCACCTCGCGCAACATCCTCAGCTACTTCTCTATTGCAGTATCAGCTCATAGAAACTATCACCATCAAGACCAGCTTATCCCCTCAATCTAAACCTCTGTCTTAAGAAGATACTTCACACTCAAACTACTAAAATGCATCCTCTTACACTCATCATCGCCATGTCAGCAACCGTGTTGGCACTCCCGCACCCACTTCCAGCCACCCAGGCTCTCGCCGACACGATTATGGACGGCGTCAACGGTATACTGGGCGTGCCTAATCGGCACAATGCCAAGTGCCATTACCGTAACAAGGATGACTTCACAACTTGCATAAATCAGTGCGTGGACGAGTTCTGCCTGACAGATCCCGCGGGTTGCAACTCTTGCATAAGAGGATGCAGTAAGTAGTTCCTTGAGTTCGTCGTGGCGCACGTTGCTTATAACGGGATCTAACTCTATGTGTTCAGCATCGAAAAACGTCTGTGACGATGCCAACGCCAAGTCCACTCGCAAAGGCACAGCTCAAGCCCAGGCGGCTGAGGCGTCTCAGTGATTATTTTTATATCGAGCCTACGGAAAAGTAGTAATTCACGACGACTTTGAGAGTTGCTAGAGTAATAAACATACAGCAGAGAGGCGCTGGATGAAGGGTCGGGTGGATTGCCGGGCACAGCGGACGGAAATATAAGATACCACTGGATGAAGATGAGATAATGAGGCAAGAGACATCAGGAGTATGATGTGAGCTGGAGGAGATACCACCGTAAAGAGTTGATAATATTAATTCAAGGATTTCAATCATACAATTTTTCTTCCCATTTTTACCCCTTTACACATCTTCGTAGCTTGCGAAGGGGCTCGTGAAGGGGTAATTACTCTGCAGGTAGAAGCAAGATGCATCTAACGAGATAGAGCAGGAAAATACAGTACTCGCATATTGAATTTGGGTTACTGCCAAGTTTGCACAGTACTGAAGGAAGGCGCTGTAAATTTGAAACAGCCAGATACGTCATACACCAGGTACTCCGACTTCAAATCCAGGC